TGACAACCACTCAATATTTATCACAAGGGTCTATCAATAAATAAGAAATGGGGAACTTGTTGAAATACTTTATGCTGACAATTCTACATTGTACCAAAAACATAATGTTGAATAAAGCCATTATCATATTTATTAAAACAAATTGTCATTGAATAGTTCAATGTATAAAATATAGAAAAATAAAAGTATTGCAGAGATATACTTAATATCTAATAATAATTTATCACTTACCATTATTGTCTATATTCATCAATAAAATTTTTATTAGCCTCTTCCCTTCCCTTCCCTCCCCCCTCACTACCATCACCACCACCATTGAGAAAAAGAAATATCAATAGTCGTAAATTTCACTGGATTAAAAAATAACAATCTTCGACCTTATTTTAATAATCATAATAAACACAATGTTATGATTATTGTTTTTTTAGGGGGGAAATAAGCGTGGTGTGTGGGGGGGGGTGTTTTTTTTTCAAATTTCATTCATGTCTATCCTTTAGAACAAATAAAAATTACCCTTTTGGAAAATGGAAACTATTCATATTTTCCGCTTAATATTATTGAGTATGTATACGTGTCTGTTTCAAAGTTACCGCCACTCACCAAAAATAGATTTATTTATTTATTTTTTATTATAAAAAAAAACAAAAAAAAGCTCGGGGGAAATTGAAAGTGAGTTGTGTTTTTTTTGTTCTTTGAAAACATGAAAAAAAAGATTAGAAAAGGATAAGAGGGGGGGATGGTGGGAGGTTGAAAAATAAATATAAGATGAATATTCAATTTTATTTATTGGTTAATGTCAATTTTAAATTCTATGAAATTTTCATTAAATCATTTAACATTGTTGATAGGAGTTATTTATGAAGAAACTATTAATGATAAATAAGGTCAAATAGATAAGGAAACATATTGACCTAAAGTGAAGAAAGTTGAAACTGTTATATTTTTTTTATCATATAACATAAGAAAATAAATAAGATTTATGGATGAGTTTTTAAAAAAAATGCTCAAGTCTCTAAGGGGTAATATTATTAATGGTTAATTTTAGAGACTTGGGCGTTTCAGATGGGATAGATACAGTGGTGTGTAGTTGTATGCACTCACTTCTAACGTCTTATAGATTAAAATGAGGCAGATATTTACTTCTTTCTGGTTTCGAATAGTCATATAAATGGTTTTCTTATGTTAGCTTTCAAGAAAATTAAGCTCTTTGTATAATGTGAAGTTTAACACTTCAAACAACACAACAATTTATTTATTCATTTGAACACATTAACATTGGTACACGGAGGCACCAAATAGATATGCGCCACAAAAACCATTCGATTTGTGTGAGAGCTGTGATAATGTTCAGGTGCCCAAACTGAAGCAGGTGGTTTTCTTAGAGGGCTACACCCGGAGCCTTCGACATAAAGGTCTGATCCATAAGGCAGTGGGGCAACGTAAGGACATGCGGTCCCATGGCAGCCAGTGACCGACAATAGATTGATACAGCATTTGTTCTTTCAGGATCTTGGAGCCCATGTGCACCACTGGTTTGGAATCAAGGTTTTCCAATTGCTCTAGGTGGACCTTCCGTGTCCACCGACCCGCTTAAAGTCTCGAACATCTGCTTTTTGTCCGCTCAATTTCGTAACAAACAGCCCCTACGCCTCGAGAAGGCAGTGAGTAGGACTTCCCTGGCAGTGGTTATTTGCACATGACCACTTGAGAACATTTCCAGAGGAAGAGCCGACTCTACCCACTCTCGGCCGTACTAAGGCATTTGGGAACCTCGACGTTTCACACTTCAAACAACACAGCGAACAAAAGTATGTATATTTTTTAAATCGGTCATTACCAGTAATTGATTATGGTACAATTCGTTGTCATGATAATAAAACACATTATTTCATAGATCAACATCAATCGATTACTTTTGATGATTTATTAGATAAACCAATTGATCAATAATTTATTGATTGTTTGTTTACATAAGTTTGGTTGATCAAGGTTACCGAGGATAAGTCAATTAATATATTTTCCTTAAAGTGAAATTCCATATATGCTTTCCAAATTCTAAAATAATAATAAAAGCATTTGTTTGTTAGTCTAGTGAATAATGACAAACGTGTAAATAATCCCATGTTCACTTCCATTCTCTTATTCTTTATATTCGTGACACAATTTCCTAATGACCAGTTACTATACGTATATATATATATATAATTTCCTTCAAAATTTTCATATTGTCTAAGAGCTATAATTAAATTATTTCTATATAAAAACACAATGTAATAATTAATTTCAAGGTCAAGGAGAATAGCCGATATTCATATTAGTGATAATTATTCTATTCACCCTTTACATAAAGAGCTTATGAAAACTTTCTTATCGAGTAAAGATTTTTGCATACAATTATGTATAGGTTTTCCTCTGATGAATTTTTAATCAAGATACTCACTAGTGATGGTCTCTAAGAGGTATTTCCTGGAGTTCTAGTGAGTAGTGACCAGTGGAGTTCAACTGAATCTGTTGTGACATAGTAACTCACTGAAGACAATGGTGGATGTGTCGCTCAATTTCGTGGAGTAGTTGAAGGTAGACATTGACAGCATTGGATGCCGGCTTAGTGGTCTAGTGGTTAAGTGCTCGCGCGCGAAACCAGTAGGTCCTGGGTTCGAATCTCGCAGGGGGCGAGGTCGTGGATGCACACTGCTGAGGAGTGCCGCAATAGGACAAAACGGCCGTCCAGTGCTTCCAGGTTTTCCCTGGTGGTCTAGCTTCAACTGACTCATGATATTAACCATTGAAATTACTATAATACCCACAAAACCCATCTGATATTGGTATTTAGTTAAAAGATTGAACTCTGCACAATTTTTAATCACATCGAAACATTTTAACATTAAATTTTGTTTAAACTATGGATAATTTCAATGTATAATTGAAATGTTCACATTGAATGATAATTTGTAAAACGTTATTTGGATCAAATTCTAATGTGAACATTAAACTGTGTAAATAAACATTAAATTTCAAAGTGAATTTCATTGATAGTTTATTTTGTTTCCTTTAAATCACACTATTGATTCTTCTTACAAGTGTTGATAAGTAAAAAAAACTGTAGTCTAAGGGAACTGTGACGATGGACCACGGGTGAACTCGAGAAAGCTGTAGGAGGCTCAGAAGGTGCCGAAGATATTCCATCCAGTTACCTTTTAAAAGAATATTCCAGAATTCCTACGTGTAGGTTCTTGATTGGACAACGCTAATAACACCCTGTATGCGGATTGGTGAACTGTAATGATGATTTCGTTCTTACTGAAAATTATAAATGTCTGACAATTTTGTACTATAATTTGACACTGTTTGGAATAATATTCCTTTCATTAGTCTTCTGTCTTCTTATTGCTACTTGGAAGGGTTTTGGTGTTCTAGTGCTCAGTTATACGCGGTATATCAAGCAAACAACCTTCAAGATATAACAGGAACCATATCGATTTCTTCTAATTACTTAAGATAGCACTATCGAAATATATAGTGAAATCTGTATTAGCTTGATGAAAACAATAGTGTTTTCTAACGAGATTTATGTCAGCCGTTATTTATTATTATTGTTATTATCATTTTAAATGTAGTTATCGATAATTAAGGTTGGAAGACATAAAACTCCATGAAGTTTTGAATCGGTTGAAAATCTGAACAATCACTTGGAAGATAATACTGAATAGAAATGTAACAATGAAACATACAAACTAACTATGACAAGATATGATCATTTTATGTTTTACGTATTAAGATAATTGCGTAAAATTCAATGTAAGAATTTGTTGAGTAACAAAACAGTTTTTATACGAAATCATAGGGTTAATAAAGTCAGTGCAGATCACTAAACTATGTACAACTATATATAGTTGAATTCATGGGTCGATCTAAGCTAGATCACAATTGAAAACCTGGAGGCATTGGAGGGCTGTCTCATCCTAGTATGAGACTCCTCAGTAGTGTGCATCTGCGATCCCACACACACAAGAGTCGAACCCGGTGCCTTCGGTCTCGTGCACGAACGATTAACCTATATACTACTGAGCCGACATCTAACGATGTCAATGTCCAACTTCATTTGATAGTTGACCTTGGGCAACTATTTATCCATTGTCTGAGATAGATATCTGTCTCTACTCAACACGGATTACACTCTACTGGTCATAGTTTCTCACTTGAAGCTAGTCTAACTTACATCAGCTCATGAGTTTAACTATTAAAATTAATACAAACTCCACATACGATATCAACATTCTTGATTCCGAACATATTTCAGAAGACAGAGGTTTTAGCTAATAAATTGAATATGTGAATAGATACTAAGCAACCATTATTATCATGATTGTTACGATTACTATCTATATAGAAGGCACTTAATCAAAAAATATGATGTTTAGTAAATAACTAAGTAACTAAAATAAGGATCATTTAACAACCAATGATAATACACCACTATGAAAGAGTAGTTTAATGTTTAAGACATTCAGCTTTCAAGCATTATGTCATGAATTCAAACACAACTCTGTCTACTTCAGCTTACATGACCAGGTGGTGTCATTAGACTTCATACTTAAAGTATCAACCAAATTACATCATAACTAGTTATTTCTGAATTGAAATTTCACTTTTCTGTTTTTCTTTTTTTTTTTTTAAAAAAACACTTAACCAACAACCTTCCCCACACCTTACTATCTATCTTAACTACCAGTTTTACAAATCACTATAAAAATAAACAAGGTGGCTAAAATAAACAAACTAGTTACCTGTCCATTATTATTATTGTAGGCGCCAGAATGAAATGTCAAGTTAGTCACATTGTCTCTAGAATATTTATTCAAAATATTCTTTCTTTTCATATATTTATAACTAAGTGATTCATATATACAATATACATATCTGTCCTATTTAGTAGATTGAATACCAAATTTATATGAAAAGATGAAAACATCAATTGTCTGCCATAAATGTCAACTCACAGTAATAAACATTCCCAAGTATGACATTTTAATTTAATCAAGGTTATTATTTGATAAAAACTGATAGATTCACTGTTCAGATTGTACACCTTTTAAAGATAAAAAATTTTTTTGATTTAATACAATTAAACTGTAATATCAGAAGGCATTTTATGGATATTATAGCAATTTTTAATAGTTGAGATTCATGAGTCTGTTGCAGCTAGACCATCGTGAAAAACCTGAAAGCACTAGACAGTCGTTTCATCTTATCCACAAAACCATTTCTGCTTGCTAGCGACTGGCTTCAAGAGGTATTTCCTGGAGTTCTAGTGAGAAGCAGTGATCAGTGGAGTTAAACCGGGACTGTTGTGAGATAGTAACTCACAGAAGGCAATGATGGATGTGTCGCTCAATTTCGTGAATTGGTTGAAGTTAGACATTAACACCGTTGGAGACCGGTCGGCTCAGTGGTCTAGTGGTGAAGTACTCGTGTGCGAGAATGATAGGTCACGGGTTCGAATCTCACGAGACGGGGTCGTGGATGCGCACTGTTGAGGGGTCGCACAATAGGACGAAACAGTCGTCCGATTCTTACAGGTTTTCGATGACTGTCTAGCTTCAATTGACTCATGATCTCAACCATTCAAAATAAACTGTAATATGTTAGTATAAATGGGTAGATAAATGGATAGATAAACAGATATCTAATATAATAGAGAAAGTCAGTTTATTGAAGATAAGAAAATGTATGATAGAAAATTTGAAATGCTTCAAATGTATATTGATAGATAATCAAATAATAAAAAATGAAATCATAAACTGGTAGGATAGTATTACCATTATTAACTTAAATGAAATAAAACAGACAATTTTCAAGTTATTTATTTTTGATTCATTTTGCATTTGGTCGCATGAATCTTCCCATTGATGTTTAGGACTGAAATTGATCAGTCTGTTATTGACATATATGCATTCTGTGTGGATTGCCTCGATATTACATCAAATCATAAACAAAGATGGATGGTGGTTAGCAATGGAATCCATCAATGGAAGATACAAACAAACAATACAAAAATGAATAAAAACTTCACCACATTGCACAAGCTAATAGTTATCTGGACTAAGTAGTTAAGTGGACAACGTGACGGTACTAGGTTCGAGTCTTGAAGTGAACATCAACTGTGGGATGAAGGTACATCCAGCTGATGAGTCCCAAATAGGGTGAAACGCGCGTTATGGACTCCACTGCTAGCAACCATCTACCTGCTTATTTATTCCTCGGTCTCGTAAATAAGTACTCAGATTTAAGCTAGTATATGAATGAAATTAATTAATCTTTTTCGAACTTATCCATGTTTACATTTTAATCGTATTTAGGAAAAAAACAAACAACGTATGTAATACATGGCAAAAACACGTTCTGAATCAAAATAATGGTAATTTCCAGCCAGACGATAGATTCCTAACTCAGTAAAATTGCAATAAATTGTAAGCTCATGAATGATGAATTCTTTTGTGGGATCCCCTATAAGTTGACTTTAAATAGGCTACTGTTACAAAGAAAGACATACTGGATAACTATGAAACATGAGTATGAAACTCTTCAATAGTGAGTAGCCATAACCCTACCAAGAATAGAATCTAGAGTCATTAGGCCTTTGGGAAGAACAGTTAACCTTCAAATCACTGAGTTGTCAAGTGATAATAAAAAGTCATCATATACTTACTAGAAACTTAGAGAAATAATATTCGGAGTTCTAGTGCGGAGCTATGACCAGTGGAGTTCATGTATGTTGAGTTTCAAATAAATATAATCAGTGACAATTAATAAATTGGATGAAGTTACAAATGTGAAAAAATTGATGTTAACTCAGTGATCTAAAGGTGAAACAGTGAACGAAGGATCTGGATTTATTGTATTTCATCCCTCAGGGGTACCATACGCAGAAGATTTTCAAACGCCGACGAAATAGTTGTCTTATGCTTCCTGGTTTATGATATGGAAACTCAAAAATCTCTATGAAAAAATAAATTTATTTTTTATTTGGTGTTTTCGGAAATGTTCACTGTGGTCGAGTAAGTGTACGATTTGTCCATTGATAAAAGTAAACTGTTCTACTGATCGACACCTTAAAACATTATGTTCTATACGTTTCAGTATTCTTGAAAGTGCGAAAATGAATATCAATATTTAGTATGACCATTATTTGATATGCTCTAGACGATCATCATGAAGTCTCAACGGAGTATTATCAAGTTAAAACGTGATTTCTAAACACAAGAAAATCCATGTCCAAGATTCTAATGCTAACCATTATCCAACTGTATCTATAAAAATGATTGTAAGCTAATGAGAATATCTAGGTGAACCACATAGGATGCACACATATATCAACCGAGACTGATCGATTCTAATCTTTAATACCAATGGGAAAATTCAAACAACTCTTACAGGTGACCTAATTTTTTTGGAAAAAACTCTCCCGTGCAATCAGTGTTTTTAATGGTGGTCTAACGTTGATCCATTCATAATCTCAATCAAGACACAATAATCTCTACAATCCTATAATGATAATAATCATATGTTCACTAGTGACTGGCTTCAAGATGGATTTCATGGGGCTCTAGTGAGAAGTCGTGACCAGTGGAGTTCAACCATGTTTAATGTGAAGTAGTTGCTCACAGAAGACAATGGTGGACGGTCGCGCAATATCGTGGATTGGTTAAAGTTAGACATTAACATCATTGGATGCCAGCTCAGTGGTCTAGAGATTAAGCGTTGGTGCACGAGACCAACAGATCCTGGGTTCAAGTCCCGCGTAAGGGGTCGTGGATGCTCACCGGTGAGGAGTTTCATATTACGACGGAACGGTCATCCAGTGTTTCTATGTTTTTAATGGTGGTTTAACATTGATCCATTCATGATCTCAATCAAAAACTCAACAATCTCCACAACCCTATACTGATAAATAAATAATTGAAATTCGCAAAATATGCAGAACTGCACCCAATCATGAAAGATTTTTTGCTGTTTCACAATTATTGTTCTGAAAAAACACGTTCTAAATAGACAGTAAGGTAATTATTAAGTATTAATAGGTAAATTGGGCAGTAGTTCAATGTTCCAATAACTGAACCTTCTTAGCTTTGAATATGGATTTTAAATGGTCTAAATAATTACTGTTTATCATATCCTATTCAAATTAGTTGGAATTTAGATACCAACTTGTTGGTAGATCAAAGAGGTGAAGACAAAGATGGGCGCATAGATAGGTAACTATAAACACCTAAACTCAAACTAGCAGCCACATTATAACCTGATCAACATAATTCAATCATCATGGAAGGACTCAACAAGTATGACACTGATCAATCCTCGGAGATCAAATAGTGTAGTGTCGGATTGAAAGACATTTCACTCAGAATAGCTCAGTGCTGACTTCTCAGTTTAGGAAACTGATTAACTCAGGTTCGAATCTCACAGGGAGAGTTACTCTCTTCAACATTATAGGCACATCTTGCTGATGAGTACCAACCACCATGAAACGTAAGTCCAAAGTTCGCTAGCGACTGTAATGATCATTTCCTCATACTACCACTGTCGAAATAATACATTTGGTAATAACGAAGATGTAGAGAGGTTCTGTAGTTGTCTAACATTCACCAATGAACACACAACTTTAAAAGTTCATAAAAATGAAATTAAGGTTAACAGGAAGGGTGCATTATATAGAATGACTTGCATGAGGTTAATAAAGCTACTTAACTAATTATCTATGTAAACATTAACTATACAAACTATCTCAGTACTTCAATGTTCAGTGGCCATAATAATAATAATAATAGAGTAAATTTTAAAAGGTTATCATACAAAATCGAGAAACAACTATTTTGATTGATATCATTCAAACACTTAACTCAACAACAGCCTACTGTGGGAGAGAACAAACCAGCATCCAACTGAAGAGGAGATTAGGAAAAGACTATGGAAATGGATAGGACATACATTACGAAAATTACTAAACTGCATCAAGAGGCAAGTCCGAACTTGGAATCCTGAAGGGAAGCGGAAAAGAGGAAGGCCAAAGAACACACTACGTCGGGAAATAGAAGCAGATATGAAAAGGATGAATAACAAATGAAAAGAGCTGGAAAGGATTGCCCAGGACAGGGTTGGTTGGAGAGTGTTGGTAGATGGCCTATTCTTTTCCACGAGGAGTAACAGGCGTAAGTGAGTAAGTAAACAGTTAACTTCATCATAACATGTAAAGGGCTAAGTATTTAAGATTTTGTTTTTCCTATCCCCTAGAGAGAGAAAAAATCGTTTTTTTTTATTTATCTCATACAAATGGATTTTAATTAATTAATTTCCTCATTATATCCTGTCTACAACATAAGCATTCTTCACAATATCCTCCTCATTATACTTTAAAGGTTAAATAGGTTTATTATGTAAATGATGTATATAACATACGTTTTTGAAATTTGTCAAAGAGGAAATGATAATCATCTCTAAACAAAGGATGTTATATACGCTTGAGTAGATAGGAAAAAAACAATCATTAAAAATGGTTGGTCGTGCGTAAAACATAATATAAAAGGCCAAAGGTTAATCACTGTTTAGAAAAAACCCCAAAAGAATTCATATATTGAAAACATGAATATATTTAAGCAATAGGAGCTCAAGGGAATGAGAGAAAGAAGCAATATTCCTTTGATAAATTGTCAATTTTATAATGTATATCTTGGTATTCTTTGTTTGAATCTTCCCATTGATGTTTAGGACTGAAATTGATCAGTCACTTATTGACATATGTGCATACGGTGCTTATTGTCTCGATATAGCCTTAATTCACAAGCATTATAGGAAACATCAACTCTAAGGTGCAGGTAAATCCAGCTGACGAGTCCCAAATAGGACGAAACACGCGTCCTGAATTCCACTGCTAGCCACTATCCATCTTTGTATATCTTATAAGTTTCAAGTTACGAAACTTTCTAGTATGAAAATATTCAACGAGACTATAATTTATAGACGGGTCAATCAAATTTAAGATAATAGGTCTTAGATTTTAGCTCAAAATTCATTCATCCATTTGGTTAAACAGAGTTTTGGCATTATAGCTGATGTTAGTTCGTGATGAAAAACGCTAAATCATAATCTGAATTCCTCGCATTGGCTTATAACCTTCATTTAACATTAGTAAGTATATGAACAATTTCGAGGTTATTTTAGCGTCGCTCAAAGGTCGTCCATAAATTATCCTCTCATCGAAAATAGCTATAGTTCATTGATAAATGGTTAGTGATATTACTAGTAGAATATAAAGTTTTAAATCAGCTTATCCAGTAATTGGAAGTCAAGTGTTTCAACCGTTGAGCCACTAGTTTAGATTATAATACTACTATTAGTTGATCAAAATCAGTGTAGAACTTAAAACCAATGTGTATCGTTTATCTAAGTTCTTATACCACATTACTTACTTACTTACGCCTGTTAATCTTCGTGGAAGAGCATAAGCCGCTCACCAGCATTCTCCATCCAACCCTGTCCTGGGCGATATACCACATTAGCACAGAGAGATTAAATTAAGATGAATACTGAACTAGTATAAGTAATTGAAGTGATGATCTACATGAATACCGGTAACACATAAGTTTTCACCCATCCATGCACTGGAATACACATGAGTATACTTACCCTGTGAGCAAATATACGTTACATGTACACCGGTAACACACAAGTTTTCATCTATGCATCCTACAGCATAGGTATGGGTATATTCACCCATCTGAGAGGGTAGACAGTTACTGCTCTCTTAAACGTATTCACTACAACGGTCACTTACTCATTACATGCATATTATTGGTACAAAGACTTTCGTCCCTGCACTTCATGACACGCATAAAGATATGCACTAATTTGGAGAAGGTTTGATGGTCACCTCTCCCTAGTATTTTCTACCATGTTTTTTTGTTGTCTTCGACCTGAAGTATTAGGCAGCAGATTTTATTGGAGATAGGGCAAACATTTTCCAGTTTGCTTTCCTTGTGCTAAACCTCGTGCGTACCGTTTGCAAATACGTACGTAAATAAACCACACAAGCTGAGACTCATGCAATTCATATACATAAGCACACACATCGGGCAGCCCGCAAGATTCTAAGGAGCTCCAGAAAATGGAACCCACTAAATTCCATTTACAGCAGGGTGGTGGATTAGTCCGACCTCCGCAGACTGACCGAGTTAGCTAGCAAGATTTTTCCTACTACCCAGCAGCGCTGCAGGGAGGCCTTAGGCCGGATTCCGCCAGTAGTAACATCACCTGTTCCGAATTCCTGTAGCTGTTCACATCAGTTGTCTGAAATATCTTGACAGTAAAAATGTTGACATTACTGAAAACTATATAACTTATCATGTTAGTAGGCGAATAAACTGAATTAGCATTTTGAGTAAAACCTAAAACACAGATCTTCTAATCGTAGAAACTTTTGTTTTCTTCATATACTACTGACAAATTACAAGCTTCATTTACTCAATTCTGGAAATGTTTTACATAAGTAAGGAGGAAAGTTTAAGATTTCAAACATTTCATTACCATTGCACAGTTGGCAATGTATGTAAATGTCTCAACAAAATGAATGGTTAGTCCCTAACCCAATTGGTTAACGAAATTAACTGACGGTAAATCAAAATTGTCAAAACTATAAACAGTTATATAGCTTATTTTCAAGCAGATCTAGATAATGTTTAATTATGTATGTTATTTATCAGCATATTTCGTTAAACCATGTCATCGTTTCTTTAGATATCACATTCAGTAATTTTTAGTGTTATCTTAGAAGTTGTGAGAAATTCAAAACTTCACTGTGGAAGTGGACAGCATTTAACAAAAATTATTCAATGAAAAAGACTAACAAAAACTTAAACTACTTACTGTATACATTTGTCTTGGAGCTGAAGGAGCATTCTGTTCACATTCACAAGGATTCCTTGAGTTACAAGAGCCTAAGTTGCATATTTCTGTTTCTCTTAACTCATCCAACGTTTGTCCGACTGTTGGTGATGTTGTTGTCGTGACTGTTGAATCACCTGGTACTTCTGTAAAACTTGATACAGCACTTGTATGTGGAGTGATTTGATCAGTACCACTTACTGAACAAGGAGAAAAGTTTAGACATGAAGATGTTCCTACTAAATGCGATTGTACATTGTATGCTGGATAACGCATAAAGGTGCCCGATTCAGCTGGGAATGTAGGAGTAATTCGATTAGCTGGAGCATATAAAGGCAAATGAAGTGTTCCCATTGGAGTTGAGATATTTTGATCCATCGGAAGAGAACAGAAAGGATAATTTTTAGTGGTATTTAAACCTCCGGGGCCTGAGCCGGCAGAATAGTACACTCCAGGAGGGGAATTAGGATTATTCCAACCATATGGGTGCATATCAGGGGCTGAATGCAGAGTATCCAAATAATTACCTCCGTTAGTTTGATATCCTAATTTAAGTGCATCCAAATCAGAAGGAGTCGGACTAATACTCATCATATAACCAGTACCCTCTAGTGGATGATTATACTCATGTTTCAATGGGAACATTGAACCCTCAGCTCCATCTCCTGCACTTCTTCCTCTATGGAAGCCATTCGCCTGTGGATATGCTTGTGGTCGATTCCATTGTAGTGAAGATCGTCTACGAACACAAATAATGGCAACCACAAGACAAACTGAGATTAGACCAGTTATTGCAATCATCACTATGATAATCATAAAGTTTAGACCCGCGTTTGTTATTGAATCTGAACCAAATACATTGACCTGAAAATTAAGAAAGTATAAATTCAAGAATAAATATCCAGTGCTTAATTGATAACAACAGAAATAAAGATTACAATAATGTAAATAGGTTAGAGATTGATACCAGTAGTACTGAAGAATCATGCTTACTGAATCATTTGATATTCACCTGATAAATTATAGGTAAATAAATGTTTTGTGAATAAATGACAAACTTAATAATACACAGTAGATATTTATTTAATATCAGAAGGGTTTTTGTGGATATTATAGTAAGCTCAATCGTTGAGATTATGAGTCAATTGAAGCTAGACAATCATCGAAAACCTGGAAGCATTGGATGGCCGTTTCCTTCGACTATGAGACTACAGAAGTGAGCATCCACGATCTCTTCTCGTGAGATTCAAACTCAGAACCTATCATTCTCGTGCGCGAGCGCTTAACCTTTAGACCACTGAGCTGGCCGGCATCCAACGGTGTTAATGTTTAACTTCAACTAATCCACGAAATTGAGCGACACATCCACCATTGTCTTCAGTGAGTTACTACTTCACAACAGTCCCGATTGAACTCCACTGATCACTGCCTCTCAATAGAACTTAAGGAAATACCTCTTGAAGCCATTCACTAGTGTGCACTAGATATTTATTCGGTAGCTTAAGCCTCTTGTTTTTCTCAAATCTATTTAGTTCTGATTAAGCAATTGTTTTCATGATCAAATCATCAAATTTAGTTGTATTAATTACTCCTGTATTTTATCAGTCGATCATTCGTAAGTGTACAGGCCAAATAACAGACATTCAACAACAACAACAACAATTTACAAAGATACACATATACATTTATATGTTATTGTCACTGCACATACGTATATTCCACTGTTAAAGTTTGGAAACATTTTGGTACACATGAAAACCAAATGAATATTAGTATACAATCGATTCATTTGTCAACCCATATATATAGAGAGAGAGCGAGAGAGAGAGAAAAAAATGATTGTATGACACCAATTTTTGTCTGGCACAAATATGAACTGTACTTCATTTATTTATACATTCAATCTATGTGTACAGAAAACGAATGATGAAATAAGGTTTTAGTGGCCCGAGATCTGACACCAGTGAAATCGTTTCTGATTGCTATTGAGATATACATATCATCAATCCTCGTATTTAATAATTGACTTAGATCGCGTTAGTGAATAGTGGAATTAAATAAGTCAAACACGAGAATGGATTCCGACTACATATATTTTGTACAATCATTGATCCAGACAGACAACCAAAGAAATGAAGCGAAACGATGCGCGGTGGAGAAGGCGTGTGAACCAACTCCCTTTAATCAAGTGTTAATCAATATATTTATAGTTACACAAAAATAAACTACAAACATGTAATGAATGGGGTAAGAAGTGTACACACATACGCTTACATGAAAACAATGTTGATAAGTGAGTAAATAACAAGGTCAAAATGTGACTCAAGTAGAATGAATAGATTGACTTATCCTTAAGCTAGAATAAGGTATATTGGCTTAACATAATAACCTACACTATAAGGTACCCTAGTTGTTATCACGAGTTATTATAATCGCATAAATCAATGTAAAGAAAACATCTCTAATAGTATCTTTCGTTATAATTGTGCTTAATTTTCTTTTTCATTTATTCATATTAAACTATCTAATTGTTATCAGAGAGGGGTTTTGTGGATATTATTAGTAATTTAATAGTTGAATTCATGAGTCAATTAGAGCTAGACTACGATAGAAAATCTGGAAGCACAGGACGGCCGTTTCGTCCTATTGTGGGACTCCTCAGTGGCGGTGCACACCCACGATCTCGATTCGAACCCAGTACCTATCAGTCTCACGTGCGAATACCATCCAGTGCTGCTATGTTTTCAATGGTGGTCTAGCTTCAATTGCCTCATTAATTCAACTAATGCTCATTATTACTAATGTGATGATATACCAGATAAAATAAACGAAGTTGATTAGTTGACAAGTTGATGAGTTAGAAAATTCAAAATGTAGTTGATTTTGTTTAAAATATTTATCTATAGATCATTTGTTTTAATTAAAACACTAATTTATGTTTATAGATTTAACTATAATTAATGGAGTGCTTTCTTTTCAAGGAATATAAATGGAAGGAAAAAACAAAAACAAAACAGTGAGTCAGTAAAAAAAAAAAAAAACAAATCAAGTACTATCTCGTTAGCCTATATATAAATAAGGAATTTTAATAGTTGAATTCATAAGTTGGTCTACGTTAGACCACTATTAGGATTCTGGAAGCACTGGACAGTCGTTTCTTCCTAGTACGAGACTCTCCAGAATTGAGCATTCATGATCCCGGACTAAAGGGATACTAACCTAGGACCTTCGGTCTCATGTGCGAACTCTTAACCTTTAGACTACTAAGCTGACATCAAATGTTGTTAATATTTAACTTCAATAGACCTATGGTCTTTAGAAACCGCTTATCCAATGTTTGAAGTGCATAACTACCTCCACTCAATATAGATTGGACTTAACTGATAACAGCTTTTCACTAAAACTCCAGGAAATCCATCTTGAATATATTCACATGATTATTGTCAGAATGGAGAATTTTGGAGATTGTAGTAATTTTAATAGTAGAATTTATGAGTCTATCTAACCTAGACCACCATTGAAAACCTAGAAGCATAATAGAAAGAAATGGGTGGTGTCTAAAATCTGATACTGGTACACGATTTGCTACGCACTAATCCCTCATCTGACTAACTGAGCAAGAACACATGAGTAAGCAAGAAAGTGTATTTGAATACAGAATGAATTGCACAAATACTCATTCATGTATATACCACTTTAATCCTTAAGAAATTAATCCATTTCTTAGCCAATGAAATGCGCTTGTCCTTTAGATCACCGCTGATTATCATCGATTGTCCTTCTCATTAGGTTACTTCTGACTGGCCCTCTATATCAGTTACTTTACTGATAAATACTGCTGAGTATTCATCTTATAAAAAGTTGATTTGTAAATATTAATGAATAGCTACTAATATCAGTGATGCGCCTCAATATTAATCATGAAATGTTTAACATCGTTTATTGAACAATTGGTTCATATTGAAATTACGAGTCAAGAATGTTTCTTTGAAAATCCGCTCCCTCGGAGAAAAGAACTATTCAATACTTGTAAACCTTCCCTTATTTATCTATTGCTCCACATACATAAAAGTTATCTGCACCATTTTAATTAATAATTTCACTGAGAGTTTAAATAACTATAAAATATCATCTAAATCAACTTTTAACCTACCTGAAGCCAAGTTTCTGTAGCCTGTTCAGGATGTCCCATATCTGAAGCACGCAAACGAAGTCGATACACACCGGGAAGCAATGGAGTAGACTCAACGGAATCATCTAATGTATATGGACTTTCTCCATTTCGTATCATTTCATTCAAATTATTCTTTACAACTGAAATCTCTCCAGTAACATTATCAATCTGATAAGAGATATTTTTTTTAAAGAAATGCAAAAATATTTTTTTAAAATATCTTGAAACAGATGAATACTGAATATAACTTGATTATTAGATATAGGCATTAATCTTTCTCTCATATCATTAGTGATAATGATACTAGGAAATCAATACAATAGTATATGAATAAGATTGATTGAAACTATAAAATCAGAACTTTTAGAAACTTCACAAATTAGTTAGTTAGTTAGTTAGTTAGTTAGTTAGTTAGTTATTTAGTTAGTTAGTTAGTTAGTTAGTTAGTTAGTTAGTTAGTTAGTTAGTTAGTTAGTTAGTTAGTTAGTTAGTTAGTTAGTTAGTTAGTTAGTTAGTTAGTTAGTTAGTTAGTTAGTTAGTTAGTTAGTTAGTTAGTTAGTTAGTTAGTTAGTTAGTAAGTTAGTTAGTTAGTTAGTTAGTTAGTTAGTTAGTTAGTTAGTTAGTTAGTTAGTAGTTAGTTAGTTAGTTAGTTAGTTAGTTAGTTAGTTAGTTAGTTAGTTAGTTAGTTAGTGTAGTTAGTTAGTTAGTAGTTAGTTAGTTAGTTAGTTAGTTAGTTAGTTAGTTAGTTAGTTAGTTAGTTAGTAGTTAGTTAGTTAGTTAGTTAGTTAGTTAGTAGTTAGTTAGTTAGTAGTTAGTTAGTTAGTTAGTAGTTAGTTAGTTAGTTAGTTAGTTAGTTAGTTAGTTAGTTAGTTAGTTAGTTAGTTAGTTAGTTAGTTAGTTAGTTAGTTAGTTAGTTAGTTAGTTAGTTAGTTAGTTAGTTAGTAGTTAGTTAGTTAGTTAGTTAGTTAGTTAGTTAGTTAGTTAGTAGTTAGTTAGTTTAGTTAGTTAGTTAGTTAGTTAGTTAGTTAGTTAGTGTTAGTTAGTTAGTTGTAGTTAGTTAGTTAGTTAGTTAGTTAGTAGTTAGTTAGTTAGTTAGTTAGTTAGTTAGTTAGTTAGTTAGTTAGTTAGTTAGTTAGTTAGTTAGTTAGTTAGTTAGTTAGTTAGTTAGTTAGTTAGTTAGTTAGTTAGTTAGTTAGTTAGTAGTTAGTTAGTTAGTTAGTTAGTTAGTTAGTTAGTTAGTTAGTTAGTTAGTTAGTTAGTTAGTTAGTTAGTTAGTTAGTTAGTTAGTTAGTTAGTTAGTTAGTAAATACAACTATGAATTTTGTTTTGTATACAACATTATAAATAAAAACAAAACAGGTATGATATACATATTTGAAAGTTCACACAATATTTTCTATAGTACTTTGTTAAACTGTAACACTAATAAATTGCTTCTATGTATTAGGAAGACATGACTTGAAAACCTTTTTCAGGAAATGTTATATCTCGACGAGAATTATGAATGATAACTTTCGGGGTCTATTTGTGGAACAATACGATACATATATATTTCGCTGTATAATGATTAAGTAGCTAAACTGTGTACATTCATGTTCCCCTTATCGTAAACTTTATTTTGATCCATAGATTATTATTATACGATTTAACATTCTTGAGCTATGCCTAGTCTATTAATTCACTGTCTCTCACATTCACAGCCACATTAGGCTAGATCATGTACAAATGTTATTTACTATTTTGTGATGCGATGTATTCAAGCAAACCATACCAAGTGAATTTAAATTCACCCCATTGCACAAGCAAGTGGATATCAGGACTCAGTGGATAACGCGATGGCGTTTGAGGCAAACGGTATTGGGTTTGAGTCTCAGAGTGAACATCAACTCTGAGATGCAGGTACATCCAACTGACGAGTCCAAAATAGGACGAAACACGCGTCCTGAAGTCCACTGTTAGCCACTATCCATCTTTTCTTATCAAGCTTATGAATTAAAGCAATATCGAGGCAATCCGCACAGTATGCACGTATGCCCATAACAGACTGATCAATTACAGTCTTAAACATCAATGGGAAGATTCAAGTAAACAATACCAAGTGAATTCAAGTATATATATATATATATATATATATATATATATATATATATATATATATATATATATATATATATATATGACGGCATTTGTATCACAGTAATTTTTTTCTGATATTGTTCCGTGCTCTCTGTTTGTTTTTGTTCTAGATATTTTCTTCTTATTAGTTTTAAATGATTGTAAGTACCCTGAAACAACAATAGAATAACCTTATTCTGATATATTTATCTCCTAAAACTTAATTACCAGTACTTCATCTAAGAAAATACTAATCTTCATTTGATGGTTTACACCGTTAAATTCTTTGTAACAAATGTCCTTTAAAAAAACAAGTCATGACTCATGTCTTTTCATGTTATGTACTATTAGCTATTTCCTTATAATTACATGTTATGTTCCTTTTTATAATAACCTAATCATGCCCATAAGTTGTCATGTATTTTGTAATTAATTTTTATCCCAATATAAATATTCACATTATGATTGTGAGCAAAGATGGATAGTGACTAGTAGTAGGATCTAGAATGAGCGTTTCGTCCAATTTGGGACCCGTCAGATGGATATACCTGCATCCCACAGTTGATATTCACTCCTAGACTAGAACCGAATACAGTTCGCTTCAAACATCATCAGACTATCCATTTAACGACTGAGTCAAAATAGTCACCAGCTTGTGTAATGGAGTGAAGTTTTAATTCATTTTTGTATTGTCTGTTTGGATCTTCCCATTGATGTTTAGAAACTGAAATTATTATTCATAAATATGGTCAATAAACAAATTAAATCTTACTTGAAATACAGTTCGTCTATGTGGATCAATTAGTGAATAAACTACTCGTCCATTTTCTCCAGCATCTAAATCCATAGCCAATATACGAGCAACTATTCTACCCGGAGGTAAATCAGATGTAATATTAACTTCTTTATCACGAGCATGAGGATAATGCCATTCAGGTTTATTATCATTTTCATCTAATACTGTTACTGTAACATTCAATTCCGTGCAGAGTGGATTAAGTGATGCTGAATCACAAGCAACAATTTCTAATGTATATGCATTAATTTGTTCACGATCTAATACTTCCATTGTTCTAATATGACCTTCAGAGTCAACTTCAAATAGATCAGGTGAAAGGATACCAGTTGCACTATTCCAAATATGACGAAGACTGTATCGGACCTAATATAGAAGAATATACGGAAATATCAAAGATGAGATAATTTTGTAATACCTGACTTTCTAAGGGAAAGTCATGAATAGTGGTTCAACAATATTAAGTGTGAAATAGGCATGACTGATAGGAATGAGCTTTAGTTGTATAATATCGCGAATTAACTGGAGATAGAGATATGAACCATTTTATTTCAATACAGTGGTTTGCGAATAAAAGGTTTGCTACGAGGACTAAAAATTGTAAGGTTTATTCTCATTTAGGATTTCGGGTGTAGACTAATTGAAAGTTACACAGCAGAACGAAACATCAATTCATGCTTATTTTTGTACCCTCGTACCTTGTTACACCATTCATTACAACGACAGGTTTGCAAGCCTAATAAAGGAAGGTATTCATTTATACGTGAACAAATAAAATAAAGCTGTTATTTTTGACGAAATATGTTGGTAAAAAGCCGTAAATAGTGCATAGATTACTTGTGAATATAATAAGGACAGACATAGTAGTAGTGTAGTGAACGAGAACTCAGGTGAAATAACTTCTTTTTTAATACGAAATTACAGAGTGCCTTTATAAAATATGAAAATCATACATTAAATACATTTTTACACATCTTCCATTACAACTGCTCTCTGTTTCCCTCCCTGTTCTCTTTAATTCAGTCTTCTACTGTCAAACATTCAATTTCCGATCGGTGCTGCATACTACTTATATTTGTCAGTATAAGTAGCATGCACTACCGTAATAATAATAATAATAATACTGGTACTATTCATTAGTAAATGTATGATTACAATGAAGTACATGATAACTATCATGTTCTCACTACTGGATTGGTTAAAGTTAGACACTAACACAGTTGGATCCTGACTTAGTTGTCTAAAAGTTAAGAGTTCGCAAGGGAGCGAAGGTCCTAGGTTCGAGTCCTGAATACAAGACCATGGATGCGCACTGTTTAGGAACCCCATACCGGGATGAAACGGCCGTCCAGTGCTTCCATGTTTTCAATAGTGATCTTACATTGTTCGGTTCATGATCCCAAATTAGAACTCAACAAACATATATACATAAATGCTGATCATGTGTAAATGTGGATGAACGGTCTTAATCCCATAATACTTCTTTTTGCTGCCTCATTATTTAAATATATGAATTCTATGACAGTCACATCTCTCTTGTCATGGGACGGAGGAAGAATGTACACGATCCACTGTTGTCGTAATTCTTGAGTTTTTCGGTGATTAGATTTAGGATGATTTTATGAAGTTGTTTGAATGAACACAGATAAAAGCAGCAAACTAGAAGAAACTTAAAGAAGATAAATTTATAACAGTGAATTCATGTAGAGAAAATTGATGTCCCAGAAGTTTGAGTAGCTAAAATTCTCATTAATTAGTGTAACCTATGTGCAATTTCTGTTATGTAACGTGAAGAAGTTGAAAATCAATAAATGGGTATACCTGACTTTAAAAAAAGAACCACTCAAGATTATATCATCTGCAGTTGAAAAAACTGTTTGGTTTTAAATGTTGCTTAACATCTGAATAGACATCACATGAAGCCTTAAAAATTATGCTGAATACAATTGACTTGTTGTGAGGGTAATTGAGCATAAGTTAACGATTAAATTAAAACATATTTCTAGTGTATTATTATTATTAATAATAAAAAAACCCTCTTTGATTATAATCATCATGTGTTCAGTGCTGACGGCCTCCAAAAGGTAGTTCCTGGAGTTTTAGTGAGAAGCAGTGATCAATGGAGTTGAACTGAGTCTGTTGTGAGATATCAACTCACTGAAGACAATGGTGGATGTGTCGCTCAATTTCGTGAATTGGTTGAAGTTGGACATCAACACCGTTGGATGCCGGTCGGCTCAGTGGTCTCAAGGTTAAGCGCTCGCTCCCGAGAACTATAAGTGTTGGGGACGACATATCCCAAAACTCATATTTGTAATTTTATCGTATCGATTAACTTATCGATTAAATGATTAAATAACAGTCAGTTGACGAACTCATTGATTAATGTTTAAAAATCTCCCATGACAATATCGGTTATATATATTTGTATATATACGTTGTAAATTGTGTTTGTGGGCTCGCTCGTTTTCTGGCTGTTTGCAGAATATATTTTCCATACCAAGCTTGAACTTCTCATTCTAGGTAGCGGGGCTGGAACGCATCAATAGCTAGATTACTGGTCTTTGGTCACCGAGTCTTGTTCTTGTTCGCAGATTTAAGTGAACTCGTGAAGCTTCAAACCTAACAATAGGTCCTGGGTTCGAACCTCGCGAGGAATGGGATCTTGGATGTGCACTGATGAGGGGTCTCGTACTAGGACGAAACAGCCGTCCAGTACTTCCAGGTTTTCTATGATGGTCTAGCTTTAATTGACTCATGAATTCGACTATTAAATCACTATCCACCAAACCCCTCTCTGGTTATTATTATTATTATTAAACTGTTACCCTCACTTTTCCTGTAATTTGACACTATATTAATGATGATGTTGAATATTGGAAAGAAAAGAAAAATAGATGAAATGAATATTCACAAATAATCAACATGTTGGTTGCTACGCTGTAGAAAATTGTCTACATCTATTGTGATACATAAACAGACATTTACGTATATATAGATATAAAGTTAACATAGACATCGTTAGTGGAGTAACTCGTTTTTATCGAACTATATAGACATTTAAAAATACATATATGATAATTCATCAGATAATAATTACTAATGCAAAACGACAATTTCAACTAAGCACAATAATGAAATTAGAGTAGATGTGCAACAACTGTTCACCTAATCGGACAGAAAAACATATATTTTCTCTATATGTATATATTAATGGAATAGAGAAACTCAGCAGGCAAAACAGACGATAAACCTGATGAGAATATATTGCCATAAGGGGTAACACCATTTGTTCCATTTATTATTCTAAATTCTTTTCTATTTTCTTCTAGGGTCAAATAACAAACAATTAGGATAGAATATTTAAAAAAAAGAAGACGAAGTATAAAAGGGTTATATTTTTGTATATACATATATATATATGTCATAGGCGTGTCACAAGAAATTATGGAAATCTACAAGACTAACGACAACAAGGAGTGGGTGATAGACAAAGACAAAATGTTGACAATAAATAATAAGCGTTTAAATTATACTGGAAAGAAGAGGTGTCTGTCAAGAAGAAGAGAAAAAAAAACGTATAGAATAGAAGAAAGGAGGTATGGGTCAAAAGGTCATTCTCTGCTGTATAATAATAACGATAAGAATAGTAATAATGATAAGTTGAAAATTAGTCTTTGTGTACTCTGTGGTAGACATTATTTATTCAGTTGTTGAATAAAGTAAAACTTGTTAACAGAATAGAAATAATGATGTGAGTATTGATGAATAGAGTTATTGCAATGCATAAATTAGCCCATTCATACTACTTAGATATTATAATAATACTCATGAATAGAAATCGAAAGTGAGAAAAACAAACAAACAAACCAAATAGAATGATGGATTCATTTGCATAAATACTACAAACTAGTCTATGTTATACCTTTATTATGTATTAACAACATATTCAATTCATTCATTTGCATCTAATTAAATGGACCATATTCGTACCATATACTTTAGATTATCTGTATTTGAATTTATTATTTCAGACAAAAAATTTTGATAAAAGGGAGAGATAGAGGAAGAGGGCGAGAGGTAATGATAATAATGATGATAAGTTAACAACAAGTTTGATAAGAATTATAACGGAAGAATGAAATGATTTGTGAAAATGATAGATTATGACATATAAATAACCTCAATAGATACTTGTTTAACCATCAGTATAAGGAGTAAGTAGAGATTGTTGTATTTTTCTAGTTGACATTAAGGACTAATCTTTGTTGGAGAACTATTGAAAGTCAAGAAGTATTATATAGATGTAAGAGACTCATCAGTAGTGGGGATCCAGGATCCTGCTGGAGGCCTTTTGATTTTGCGACAGCCCCAAGATAACAATATCCATAAATTCGCCATACTACTAATAATCATATACTCATTGGAGTTCTAGTGGAAAGCCATGTCTAAGAGAGTTCAACCATATTAGAGGTTGATAGCCATCTATTGTAAGCAATAGGAGAAGGTTACACAATATCAAAAATTGGATAACAGCCTAATGGTTGAGAGGTTAATTGCTCACCACGAAACTGAAGGTCTTGTATTCGACCTCCTGTAGGGTCATGGAGTGAGATTGTTGAAGAGTTTCTTTCCAAGACAAACCACATATTTATTGCTTCATGGCCTGAAATGCTTGTTAAATTAAGGTCAATCCGTGATGTAAACCATGAAAGTCCTACAATCTCTACACATTATGCTAACAACAATCATTCGTGAAATAGTTGTTACATTAGAACATAATATATCCAACACGAAATGATATCAATCAGAAGACAACAGCTGAAAATTAAGGATTAATGTATGGGTAACTTATACTGACTTGAACTTTTTACAAACGTTCATCCATGTGGAATAGAACTAACTTAAAACTAGTAAGTATATAACATGGAAAAAGATTTCAGTATTTAATATCAGAAGTGGTTTTTGCGGATATTATAGTAATTTTAATAGTTGTGATGATTAGTTGATTGAAGCTAGACCACCATGGAAAACCTGGAAGTACTGGACGGCTGTTTCGTCCTATTGTGGGACTGCTCAGCAGTGCGCATTCACAATCCAGCCACGCGAAAATCAATTTCGTTTCTTTACATTTTACAGTCATATAAATGGTATGGTAATATATATATCTTTGGATTTGAAAGAAAATGACTATTTGATATTAACAGAAGGAGTTTTGTGGAGATTTTAGAAATTTCGATAGTTGAAATCATGAGTCATTTGAAGGCAGACAACCATGGAAAATCTTGAAGTACTGGACGGCCGTTTCGTCCTAATATGGGACTCCTCAACAGTGCGCACCCATGATCCCGCCCTCCACGAGATCCGAACCCAAGAACTATCAGTCTTGCGCACTAGCGCTTAACCACTAGACCACTGAGCCGATCGGTATTCAACCTTGGTAATGTCTAACTTCAACCAATTCACGAAATTGAGCGACACATCCACCACTGCCTTCTGTGAGTTACTATCTCACAACAGACTCAGTTCAACTCCACTGATCACTGCTTCTCAATAGAACTCCAGGAAATACCTCTTGAAGCCAGTCACTAGTGAGCATATGTTAATTCATATCAGAACGGTTTTTATGTATGTATGGTTTACACTACTATATAATTATTCAGTAAAATTATCAACAAATTTTTTAATGAATGTTGCGATTAAAATAGTTAAGAAAATTTTTAGAGATTGATGGTAATCATTTATGGAAAATAGTATGATAATGTGAATTGGAATCGTTTATATTGTAACCAGTAAAAGGATATATATAGAGAGAGGGAAGATGAATATTATTTCTCGAGGACTGTTTCTTGAGATGATTTTCGATGAGACTATAATTTATGAACTACCTTTGAGCGACACTAAACTGATCTTGAGTGTCCACTTAATAATCAGAATCAAATGAGGGTTGTAAACCTGTGTGAGAAATTAGAATTATGATTTATAGTTGATGATATCAGCTAAAGGGTCATAACGCTATTTATCCAAATGGATAAGTGAATTTCTCACCAAAATCCGAGACCTGTTATCTTATACATGATTGGTTTGTCTAGAAATTATAGTCTCACCCGATTTTCTCTTGAAGCCCCAACAACATTTGCACTTATATAGTTTCGTATTTTCAGCAAAAGCACTTTATAAGTGAGTCAATATATTTTCAAACTATGAACTTATCGACAGCTGGTTGGGAACACAATAACAATGGATGCTTTGTTTCCATTACAACCACTAGTTTGACATCTTAATCAGATAATCAGTCCTTTCACATATGCTGACTGATAACTTGACTTATGAATGTTAAATTTAGTTGTTAGGACTATTTAACATTAAATACTGAAATAAAAAGTATATATCTGTGTGAAACATTGAGAAATTTGTTTTTTTTTTAGGAAACTCTGGTTAAGTGATTGTGGGTCAGTCAATAAGGACATTCTAACTAAACAAAGATTAGTGAAAATGACATGCTTTTGAACACCTTCATTATGGAATAGAATGTTGCTTCTTGAAAATTTAGAAAACTAAGTGATACTTCAAAGTACCATTTTATTTACCAGGATTCCGATACAACGAAACTATCTATCTCGAGTTCACTGATCGATCTACTTGTTCTAGTAAAATGATTAAAGTTAATTGGGGGGGGGCAAATAAAAATAATTAACTTAAATATTTTATACTACATTATGTTATCCATGAAATATGAGGTTAACTACAATAGAATTTTCTTACATTCTGAACATACATTCCACTCAATAACACAATTTTGCTGAGTAGCATCATTCCTAGGTTAGTTAATTTCTTAGTCAAATCATTATGAATGATCGCTGAATTGTTTTTGTGTTGCTATGTGATCAATATACAATCTCATCTCCTTAGTGAATTAACAATTCAATATATCCTACTGATGATCCCTAAAAATTTCTAAATATATACATCAAAGTTAAGATTTCAATAACCAATTGAATTCAGCCAATTCATGATAATACCAAAAACATAAGTAACAAACTTGAATCTCGGTGTAAGAATTCAATCACTGAAGATTAAGACTACGCTAACAACAACAACAACAAAAAGTACATTTTGTGCAATGTTATAATATTAAGAAAGAACACCAGATACTTCAAAGAAATTGTTGTGCATAATGGCGTCGGTATTCAATTTAAGCTATCGATTATGTCTTTTTTTATATAGATAATTGTAATCAAATAAATTAATTACACATGTACTGATTTCATTTGTCGGCATGAATAACTCATATTCCCCAAGTACATTTAAGAAGAACATTATTGTATAAAAGAAAGAAGTTTAGATGGTGCATAGTTTTTCATGATGGTGGTACTAGTAGATATGTGTGTTGTTTTTCTAGAGAGAGAGAAAAAAACGGCTTTCGAATATCTAACTTACGAAAGGAGAATTACATTATTGATTATCTTGGATGAACATTGTTGTATTAATAGATAAAGTACTGTGATACATATATTCTGGTGTATTTGTTCTGAAAACAAAATGGTGATCATAAGACAAAAAGAAATAAAAGTGGCTATAAGGAAATTAAAGTAATAGATTATGTAACAAATAGCAAGAATTTAGTTGTTATATTTATTGATTTATTTATTTGTTTGTACATATGAACAATGGTACAATAATGCACCAAATAGATATGAGCCACACAATTACGAGATCAGTAGTAGTTATCATTGATTTGTGTGAAGGCTGTGATACTGCCCAAGTGCCAAAACCGAAACAGGTGGTTTTCTTAGAGGGACATTCTCTGAGCTTTTGACCTACAGATTTAATCTACAAGGTAGTGGAGCAACGTCAGGGGATGCAATCCCATGGTAGTCGGTAGCCAACAGTAGGTTCATACGTCATTTGTTCCCTCAAGATCCTGGAGCCCATGTGGAACACTGGTGTGGAATCAGGGCTTTCCAACTCCCCTAGGTGAACTCTCCGTGCCCTTCAACCCGGTTAAGGCGCCTGATACTCTCTTTTCGTTCTCTCGGTTTCGTAAACAACACCACCGTCTCGAGAAGATAGTGAGTAGGACTTCTGTGGCAGTAGTTCTTTAAGCGTGGCCATGTGAGAGCATTTCGAGAGAGAGAGAGAGAGAACGGACTCCCCAACCCCTGGCCGTACCAGAACATTGGGGGGGCTCATTTGTCAAGAACTAATCAATAACAGAAATAGTCCTTAAGTAACCAGTTCAATTTGAATTAAGTTATTGACAATGCGATGTAGAACGTCAATTCAATTTATAAATAAGACAATTTATTTCTAAAGATGAATTATAACTAAATCTACAACACCATCTGTGCGATAGTCCCGACATACCGACTGAGAATCAACTTAGATACTTTGTATTAGAGATAAAAATGTTATTTAGGTTGGTTAAGCAATTAGCTTTCAGTCATTAATTTAGTGATTGGAGTCCAGTTTTGAAAACTAGTTACTATCAATAAACTTCACGTGTAAAATGCAACACCGTTGGATGCCGTCCAACTCAGTGGTTTACTGGTTAAGCGCTCGCGCGCGAAACTCATAGGTCCTGGGTTCGAATCTCGCGAGGGTGGGATCTTGGATGTGCACTACTGGTGAGTTCCACACTGGGATGAAACGGCTGTCCAATGCTTTCAGGTCTTCCATGATTGTCTAGCTTCATTTAACTCATAATTTCAACTATTGAAATTACTAAAATCTCCACAAAACCCCTTCTGATTTAATATGTCTGTTTATAAATATGAAAAATCTAACTTTATTAGCTTAGTTCTACGACAATTCTAATACAAAATCAGACATTGTTATTGAGGACAAAGGGTGATAGAAATAAATAATGGTAATTAATTGTCATTCATTGAATTTCACAGTAACATTTAACAGACCATAAACATTAGTACTATTATTATTATTATTTTTATTATCAGTGGTACCACTATACCACTCTCACTCTTTCTTATGACTATTCTTAATACAACATGGAACAATGCCAAGTCATTTTAAATATTATTATCAGTAACTTTAAGGTGGTTTTTAAAAAGGAATAATTTTCCAACTGAACACTGATCAATACACTTATATGTTTATGTATCCATGTCTCTAACTGTGGGGTTCATTGATAATTAGTTGTAAGCATGTTTAAACTTGTGGTTTATTGTATGTTTAATGTATCGGTGGTCAGTTTAAATGTAAGAAAAAGAAAAAAAAAAGAAACGTGTAAATACGTGTGAGAGTTCATTATATTTTATCATGGCTTAGTGCTCTAAAAAAAAATCTCGACAGTATCATAATGTTGTTCCGGCTAAATGATCATTATATATCCACATTCAGTATACTATTTGAATTATATATTATTCATTGAGATCACAAACCGATCAAAGTTCGACTATCACTGAGAACATGAAAGGATTAAACGATCATTCCGTCCTAGTATGGGGTTCCTCACCAGTGCCCATCTACGAATATGCACGCGGTAACCGAACTCAGGGCTCCAGATCTTGAGCACAAAAGCTTAATCCTAAGACCACTGAGTTGGCATCCAACGGTGTTAATATTTAACTTCAATCAGTTCACGGTATTGCACAACCCTCTCTCGTTGATAGTGGTGGTCGAACTCCACTGGACACGATTCTCGGTTGAAAGGTCATTGGTGAGTATTGTCCAGCAGTCTCATACTAGGAAGAAACAGCCGTCCAGTGCTTCCAGGTCTTAACTTGGATCGGTTCTTGAATTCAATGAAATTCAACAGTCTCCACGACTTCATGTTGATACGTACTATTCAAAGGATGGGCAGATTTTTGGGCTGTGGCTAGTAATGGAAACTAGAATATAGGTTCCGATCACTTTGAGATATATCAGTTCATCTAGCTTCTATTTCGATGCCTCCATTCAAAGGGTTGTTATTATCAATTAAACTGATTAAAAGCATTTTTGAAAAATCCAAACCCTTAAAATTAACAATACGAAAACAAGTTATTCAACACAGAAAAAAAATTTCAGTCTATTCAAGCAATACAATCGAAGAGATGGTCAGTTGAAACTGCTATAAGAACGCACTAATTCAAAAACCTGAATCACTTAAAGTTCAAACTGATGAAAACTTCCTTTAATATATGAATCAGTAAAAAACAAAAACACAAAACTGAATTAACTAACATGTCCATTTTCTCCTGCATCTGCATCGAGTGCTGTAAGACGTCCATTGATCTGAGTAAAACGTGGTTGATTTTCATGAATTGAAAAAGGTCCTTTCGTTATAAATTGTGGCTCATTATCATTAACATCTAAAATTGTGACAAACACAGTAGCGGAAGCCGTAAATATTGGGTGGACAATATCATCATTAGAAGTATCAACTGATTGTTGTAAATGTTTTTGTCTTATTCCTTCTTTATTACCTTGAGAATTATGATCTAAAGAAATAATACCACAACCATTTGTTGGTGTACCATCAGTAACACATACTGAGAAAGTGATTTTCTCTGTTTTCTCACGATCAAGTAAACTGAAACTATGTAAATTACCATTTTCATCTTTCTCATCACCTCCTAATGTAGTTATTACACCAGTAATAGGATCAATAGTGAAATATTGTTTTCCTTCACTACTTAATTCATATGTCAGTTTAGCAGCTTGATCTCGATCATGTGCAATGATCTACAAAGATAAAAACAAATGAAAAGATATTAATGAATCACTTTAAAGAAACAGCATATTCATTTACTACTTTTTTACATTACTGTTGTAGTGCCTATAACAATTATTAATTACTTATATATAGAGATTTTTTGTACTCATAGTACATCATGGTCTTGTATTTTATCTTTGTAACCATTTGAATTTTAAAATCCAAATAATACATTATACATGACTAGTTTACCTGGAGTATTGATTCAATAGACTGGAGAACAGGTGAAAATTTCCCATTTTTATAGTCAATAGTCTCTTATCAGTGTTAGTACATTAAAAGTTAGTTAGACATAGGAAAAATTCATCAAGAATGATAGTATTTGCTGTAGTATAAGACCGAACATAGAAACAATATGGTTTTACAAAACCAGAAAAAACGAATGGAAAGTATAAAGTGACACTCAGAATTAAATTTAAAAGAGATCAACAACAAAAAAATGAATACAGCTGTATCTATGTGGCCTATTTCTAAATGCTGAACAAAACTTGTTCAATCCGTTAATCTGTGTCTTATCGTACGATTAAAATCATCAGTTCATGAAATGTTTCTGTTTGATAGGCTTTAAGGATGTTACAAAATGTTCCATTGTTAGACAGTATTGTGTATTAAGTTATGTAATAACTAGGCACGCGTAATAAGTGTTTTAATCACTTAAAATGTCATCAATCGATATAACTACAATGTACAGTTGATCTCAATACTACTCATCTGATAACTTGGTCATGCTCAATCAATACTTCAAAGATATTTTTGATTGATAATAAGTGACTTTGTTAGTTGTACGAAACATAAAGTGTGGCGTATATATGGACCCGTCTCAAGTTATAACATCAAGTCATGATAGCGAGATGAAACTATCAAAACAAATGTCAGAATGATAGACATACTAGTACTGTCAGCTGTAGCACTAAAAAAGAGGAATAAGTAATATGATTCGAGAATGATAAGTAAGTTTGTGGAATGAAAAGTGAGGGATGATTTTTAAACTCAAGATCCGAAGGAAGATAAGAAGCAAATGTATCTGAGCTATTGCGATTAATTCTTTGCCATAACATTCAACGTTTTGAACCCGCTAGATACGGTAATCATGCTAATCCCAACCAGGTAATTTGTACTTAACAACATGATTCATTGGAGACTTCCTGCTAAACGAATCTAGTAATGTTTTCAAGTTTTAAAAAATCACATAAGATATGAAATCATTCTTAATATAGGTAGATTTGTAGGGATCAAAATTAAAACGATGAATTTCTAGTGAGAAACTGTGACCAGTAGGGTTCAAATCGCATTTACGAAATTGAGAAAACGTAAAGGGAATGTCCGGGGCTTTAACCGGGTTGGTGGGTATGGAAGATCCACATAAGACATTTAGAAAACCATGATTCCAAACCAGTGGTGCGTATGAACTTATTGTTGGTCACCGACTACCATAGGACTGTACCTCCTTGTGAATTCGACCTCTATGTCAAAGGTTCAAGGAGTGACCCCCCCCTAAGGAAACCATCTGCTTCGGTTTTGGTGCCCGGACAGTATCTAATTCCACTCAGAAATCGAATGATGAAGTGTTTGTTGCTCCCTTGTACCAATGTTTACGTGTTTAAATAAAAAAAACAGGTATGAGATAGTTACCCATTGCATGTAATCGATGAAGGTTGTGCAATATCTTGAACTGATTGAAATTACACATCAACATCATTGGATCTACCTGACTAAATAACTTACATATTAAAGGATCACGTTCGAGACCGAGTATCTCGGGTTCCAATACTCGGATATTGGGTACGCACTATTGAAGAATCCCAATGCTTCCCAATTTTCACTGGTGGTCTAGCTAATACTAATTCACAAGTTAAAATATGATAACATTATCCAAATATTGATTATCTCCCAAGTAGGAAATTTTATTGAATCAAATGATCAATGTTCCTTTTCCACTGGATTATGGACATCATATATATTTATAACATTATTATAATCATTGTGATTATAGGGTTATCTTTTGTTTTGTTATCCTAATAATGATCATCACAATCAATGAATTTTACCTTATTTATTTACTTGTCTATTGAAATATATTACATAAATAATAATATCTCATAAATTAATGATTTCGTGATAAACAACAATAAAAGAATTATGTAAACAATTGACAATAATTCCGATGTTGATCAAGATACTACTATGATTCTTAAATTATTCAGTAGTATGTTTTAAGTAAAGAAGGATAATATTTAATTTATTATTATTATCATTATATATAAATATATGAACATACATGTATACATACAGAATGTTTAAATCAACAGGAAGAACAACAACAACAACTAAATTTATGTCTTCTGAAATAAACGTGAATTTCTTGTTATAACAGTAATGGAATAGTGTTGATTTATGATTTTTCTAAAACCGCTTTCATGGTTGGTTTTGATTAAGAGAAGAGTATTAAGTTGGAATATTTGTAAGTTATTCAAGAACTATTTACTATTACAATGAAAGTTGTCTATAGATTTGAACAAATTTGGGAGTGGGAGTTCCACACATAACCATTTAAAATAGTGAAATTAATAATTGAAGCTAGGCAACCATGGAAAACCTGAAAGCATTGGATGGTCGTTTCATCCTAGTATGGGATTCCTCAGTAGTGAGCATTTACAATATCGCCCCGTGAGATTCGAACCCAGGACCTATTGGTATTGCGGGCGAACGCTTAATCTCTAGACCACTGAGCCAGTCAGTATAGACAAAACTCCTCTGATTATAATAATTAATACCATTGTAATGTTGAAAATGACTTAGATAAAGTGAATTCTTAGTTCGAAAATGATGACTGGTTGATGAAAAATAATGTGATATCTATTATACGTATTTCAAGTCAGATATGGTTATACCCACTTGGTTATGGATTGTCATGTGAAGTTCTGGGATTTCAATGGAAGTGAGCACATAGATGATTATTGGCAAGTTACGAACTTGCCGTGGCTTATTCAACCCAAAAATGATTCTCATCAAGGATTGGAAATGGCTTGGAATGGATTGAAAACTATGGAACAGCAGACATCATTTTAAACCTTCCCCATATGTAACCATATTTCTATTCAAAGCATAAACCATTGACCTAATTTTTTGCAATAATCGCTGTATGTTGAAACTATTTTGTCAAATCCCAGTGGTTCCTATTTTCGACTTCATGTGAAAATATTGGACACTGACACGGACGAAGTTGAACTATGTCGGTCACAAATTTTAACCAATAGTTGTACATGAATGTGTTGATAGAAATCAATTGAACCAAAGATAAAATATAATCATGAATTTTTTCAGACATAACGCTTAGATTCTTCAGATATGTATTTAATTAAATATCATCCATCATTAAAACCAGTAGAAAGGATTGAGTAAATGTATTCCTCTCCTATTGGTCTTCATCACGGTCACGGACACTATTTTCGATTTCTCTAAATACATAAACAATAGTACAAAGGGAGACCAATATAAATATAAGCCGCACAAGTCACTGAATATTTTGTGTGATCTAGCATACCCCTCAGGTCTTCTTATGAGATTAAAACCCGAGTCTTTGAAATAGAGGTCGGATTCAAGAGGTGCAATCCCGTGGTAGTCGGTGACTTACAATAGGTTCGTACGCCATTTGTTCCCTCAGGATTCTGGAGCTCATGTACACCATTTGTTTGGAATCAAGGCTTTCCAACTCCCCTAGGTGAATCCTCTGTACCCATCAACCCGATTTAGACACCAGACATTCGCTTTTCGTTCTCTCAATTCCGTAAATAACACCCCCGCCTCGAGAAGGTAGTGAATAAGACTTCTGAGGCAGTGGCAATATACGCGTGACTATATGAGAGTATTTCTAGACGGAGGTCAGACTCTCTCCATTCTCTCCCGTTCCAGGAGATTTGAGGGCGATCATAGACATTACTACTCGATCATTCATTGATAAAACATACTGTCCATAATGATGTTTTGACTTCTTTACATAAATGATGTTTAATATTAAGTAATTGGAAGCTGGTTCTTATCTTTCACAGACTATTTATATATTTCTGAAGGTTATTTTCATATTTGGTAGCTTTTAGTACCAACGACTTTTCCTACTGTGATCCACTGTATTATTTAATTGGTTGGTTTCTGGAGATTTGATTTAGTTTATAAATAGTTTTCTTCACTTCATATCATTTGAAGAATCACTGAATGTTTGTTTATTCCTTATTAGACTTATACCTACCACACACAAAATCTAACCAGTGAGTTTGAAGTTTTTCAAGATTGTTATCTGATTCAAATAATAAATGATTAAGTATTGTGATCTCACTTAAATCGATTCAAGATTTTAATGAAATTCAACAATCTCCACAACCTCATATTGATAATCATTATGTGCTTATTAGTGATTGATTTTGAGGGGATATTTCCAGAGTTCTAGTGAGAAACCATGATCAATGGAGTTTCACTGTGTCGGATGTGAGATAGTTACTTACTAAAGATAATGTAAGATAGTCGCGTTATGTTGTGGATCAATTGAAGTGAAACTTCTACACTTTCGGATCACAGCTTAGGGGTCTACGGGTTGGGCATTCACGTACGGATTCATGAATGTACACTACTTATTAGTCCTATGCTTGAATAAAATGGGTGTCCAGGGCTGTCAGGTTTTTCAATATTTGTTTAACCTAGATCGTTACAGAATTATCTATCAAACTAAAAGAGATTTTACTCACCCCCTAGTTTGTAATCTAAATAATAACATATCTTAATCACAATATCCTTTCGAACTAGAGGTGAATGAGTCACTAACGTTTAATGAAAAAGTGTCACACACATTTACACCATGATTTTGAATTGTTTAATTGTCAGTTTGGTATTTAAAAAAATCTTAGAAAACACCCATTCCTTGTTTTAATTTATCAAAATATTTTTTTATATCACAACTTCTATCTGATAATAAATC